TAGAATTGGTCCAGATATCACATAATACATGCTGAATTGATTTAATATCATATGGTATGAATAATGAACAACGCTTTCTAGATAGCTATAATTAAATTTGGCGTTTCCGCTTTAAAAATTCACTAATTGTTACTAGTAATATTGATTGCTTTAATTGATACGCTTAATTCAAGTAGCTTTAACTTGTCCAAGACCAGAATTTTTAGGTCCATACTTGGAACGGACCAGTCGCATCAATATCGCTCCTGTGACAGTGTTCTGAGCGAGGGGTCGTATGACTGCTCTTTTTCATCACGTGATATTCTACCGTTTCGCATGATCTTAACCTTCCTAAAATTTTAAAAAAAAAATTTTATAAATTTTGAAGCTTAATTTTAAACAATCAAATTTGTGAAAATTGGATGGAATTTATCATTTATCATATATGCATTAATGATAACATAGAATGCTTTAACTTATAATAGATATCAATTCAACTAGTAAACTCCTTAGGCTGTATAATTAAATAATTGGCTCTTTGACCTGATTATAGTTGGTAGCCTAAACCTTTTTCGCATGACGACAAAAGGCGAAACCTCTGACGAAAGTTGAAACCAAATTCTTCCGATGAAAGACGAGACCTTAAACTTAAAATGACGAAACACTCAAAAAGATGAAACCCTAGTTCACCCTTTAATAATAATAATAATAATAACAATAATAAAAAATAAAAAAATAAAAAGAAACGAAATGTTATTTTCATTGAATTAGCATTCATAATTTATTAAGAGATCAGTATCCGGAATTACATGCATGCCAGCAAAAATAAACCAGTTCATTTTTTCTGGACAATGCTAGGGCTGTTAGAACGGTTAAAATAACCTTGTCAAAAAACGTAATACTCATGGGAATAACACAAATAACGAATTAAACATACTAGCACAAAATAAATTTGTAAAATCACAAAGTAAGCACCAAGCGATTTCTCACTAGAATTGATATTATAATATAATATAGAATACTCATTTCTAACTCTCTTTAAACATTTCAAGCGCCTATTATACAATAAAATTTTTTGAATTTTTGCTTTTGTTTATTTATTTATTTTTTTTTATACGCATGATTTTAACATCATTTATTTGCATATTCGTCTTTTATTAGTTTTGTCACTCTTTACAGTTTCGTCAGTTTCGTCACCTTTCATTAGTTTCGTCATTTAACGAAAGACAAAACTAGGTTTCGCGTTTTGTCAGCGCGAAACCTCGAGGTTTCATCTAACAACTATTGTAACTATCATTAATTTCTTTCGTTAAAAAGGTTTTTCGTTATTATTCTTTTTTCTCGCCTTCCGGCACTTAATACAAGCGTTGGTAGTACATTCATTCTCATAATTAACAAGTTTCTCACGCAATCTTTTGTTTTAGTTGATTGCATTACAAGTAAGTTTTGTGTTTATGAATAAGTTTGCATTTAATTTGAACGAAAAAATAATAGACTAACCAGTATGTGTATTTCTAATTAATGTCTTATTTATCCAATAGAAGTGCTGCCAGGGAAAAGCATGTAATAATTGAAGAGCAATCGATATTAATATAATAAATGTCGTAAGAAATTTGTGTTGTGCAATGTAAAAAAAAAAAGTATTATGAGTATGACGAAATATGTCGTAATTAGGGATTTATAAGCATTAGATTTTGAATTAGTGAAGCCTCTATCTTTTGGTTTCGCTATTGCCCGCCTTGTATTATTAGGCTGCCCATCCTACCCAGCTGACAATTCATCAAAAATGTAGTCATGAAGTCAAGAATTAAAGCGATCGTGGCTCGGCGGTGATCAGTTATATGGACAATGATAATGAGGTTAATAATGTGAATATATGAGGAATATCGAGACTTTAAGGCTAAAGTAGCACAAAGACCACTTGATTTATATTCGCTTGCCTAGTATTCACAAAAAAAGAAAAAAAAAAAAGAGAGATGACGATATGGTGTTTTGGAATTATCAGCTAAGAATTCGAAGTTTTTTATCATAATACTGATGATCGTCTGTCGCTATTATCGAAAGACTTGACAGCTACAGCTTGATGAAGAAACGACCAGTATTTAGGTCATGATGCAAGAGAACAAGTACTTGTTTATCCACGTATTAGTATGTTATGTACAATATCTGCGAGACCTATTCCCATATGTGATTCCTACGTAACAAGTTGATAAAATTCTTTGATTGAGCAATAATAATATATAAATAACGAACGTCTTTTCTCTTGATTTGCGATTAATTGACTACCGTTCGTAAATTAAATTAGTATTCATTTCGAAAGAGTAAACCCATTTATTCTTTTATATAATATAATAATAAATCTCTTAATGAATATTATCATAAAGGTTATTACCCATTTTTTTTTTTGAAAAAAAAGAATAGCTTAACATATTATATTATATATTTTGTTTACTGAAAAAACTTAAAAACAATTTAATGACTTAATATCTATTCAATAAACTTTTTTTATACATATGCAATGATTTAACAACAAATTCCAAGCCCGAAAATTTCTAATGCATTTTTTTTTTTCTTTGAACGTCAATTTGTTATAGAAAGTGTTGACTTATTTTTTCTATATAAAGAAGATTTTCTTTCGAAATAAAAATAAGCATTAAAATTTAAACAACACAAGCACAAAATCCCTCCTCACTAACAACATTCTTCGACACACGCACACTTGGTACTATAACATTATTGTCGGATACAGGTTTGCTACTCAAGTGAAAATGAAATTCAGAAGTTCGATATTTCGATCGAACCTTTTTTTTTATTTATTTTACTTGCACATGGTTGCATCATTATTTGTCACAATATACTCTAAACCTAATTCTAGACCAAGCACGGTAGACTTTACTTATCTGTTATCATTATTGAACACGATCTATCCTAACACTTTATATAACGTGTACTATTCACATCCAGTCAATTATTTTATATTATCGCTTGGATTGTATAATGCTTTATTGCTTACTCCCTTTAAACCTTTAAAGCGCTCAGTTAATTATTAATATCTCAAGAGGCCTTATCATTAAATGCAGGTGAGCTTGATTTATATCAATTTCTGCATAGAAACCACTATATCCAAACATGATTGATATAAGAAGTGAAAATGAACAGCTCCGAATATCCATGCCAAGAACATATTTACATCCAATCCTTCTCTCCCAGAAAACTATCTGCCAATGCTATATAACACAAACTCAGCTGCACTAGATGCTTGACACAATTCCAGTAATTTATAGTAATTCCATCTTAGCAGACCTCCAAAATTAGAAATATTGCATTACATAAAAACTGGTAATGATGCGTCATAGAAAGAACTGTCTTTGTACCAGTGCCAATCTTGTTTTCTGTTTATCTTCAATAAAACGTATTTTGTCATATAATGATAAAGGATAGTATTTATTACTTTCTTCTGCCGTCAAAATTGGAAATTTTTCTTCACATAGAAACCTGCAACGACATGTCATAAAAAAAATTGTGCCAACATAGCTTTTTCTGCTTTCCAATCAGGTTTAAGATATTGCTTTCGATTTATTCTTCAATAAAACCATCCACCCACGTTCCCGGTATCTAGATCAATCTAGCCAAAGCTGGCTAGAATTACGCAGTTGGCCTGAATTATAAAGATTGCACTGCGTAGTCTCTCAAAAATTCCACGCAGTACTACTAATATGTAATATGATATTTGACTGAACTAATCAATATCCCCAGACGAGGATGCATCATATATAAAGCTCTACGTCTATTGAAGTGCATCGAAGTGTATTTTATAGAGGTAGGCGCGTTATTGATATTTAAATTTTAAGAAAGTTAAGGACTTGAATTGCCCAAGATTTTTCTAATCCGTTTAATTCAATCAGAATTAAAATAACACTGGAACATGACCGACATAATTCGGCCTGTGATTATGGAATCATTTTTAGAGGTTAAGCAATTAAATTTTTAGTATAAATGCGTAATCTAATTTTGTTTCTTGACATTTCTTGTGAAATAATATAGATAACGTCCAACTCACCTTTATTAAAATGAATTAAACGTTATCCATATTACTTTACAATATAAAATAAAAAAATAAAAATAAAAATAGTAAATGATGCATGCATCTAGTCAATACTCACGTTATATAAATACGCATAATTAATAGTACCCAGAGTTGAAAAACATGTATATTGTCTTAAAGGCTGCTGTGAATTGTCGATATTGTTGTTGTGACACGCATAAATGTCCTTTTCTATTTTACATTCAGCTTGTTTTTGTAAGGAGCATAAATAAGAGCAAATTTATTAATTTAAACAAGAGCAAAATCATGTGAGACTGCTTTTTAAAAACTTTAAAAGTAGAAGATCTAACTATTATTTTGATTTAGGCAACTTCCTTAACCAATGGGTTAAAATATGTCGAAAGCTAAATTTCAATTAGCGTAATGTATTTTAACCCGATTATACATGTCATTAAGTATGGAACACGTGGTTTATAAGGAATAGTAAAAGTATTGAGTTTATTACTTTGGTCAATAAACTTTTGCCCCAAATCTCTCTTTTTTTTGCATTGGCGTGTTGAAACTTTATAATTGTTAAAGTAAATAGAGTTTTCATACTTCTTGTTATGGACCTTCATAGGTAATAACTGTTACTAAAGCTATTAAAGTACCTGATTGACGTCTTTATTTATCGTAGCAACTGAACATCACTACAATTATTAGCGTGATATTTGAACAATTCTCAATAATATCACCATTCTTGTTATTAATTTGCATCTAAAAGTTATGATAATAGATAAAATTATTTGTGCACTATTCGATCACTAGAAAAATTGTATCTATGATAATGCTTAAGAACGCCAAAGTATGTAAATATCAAATATATATAAATATAAATATAAATATATGTATATGTATATGTATATGTATAATAAAAATAAAATCAAAAATAAAATAACTTAAACTTTTAACAAATAATAGAAATCTCAAGTGGCATTTACTGTATAGGGTATCCATTCCATTCCCATATGTTAGTCATCCAATCTTCTAGCTCTTCTCTGCCCTCTTGTGAGAGTTGTATCCTTGAATACTGACCCCTTCTCAGATGCGAATTCTTGTCACGACGTAGCTCTCTAGTAAATTCATGATCTTGTACAATGTTATGAAGTTTACTTATTAAAGATGTTAATGTTCTGATATCAATATAACGTTGATTGTAAACATCTTCGCATTCATCAAGTAATTTTTCTATCTTGTATTCTGGCGCAGAAAAAATCATTTGATTAGAGTTAATCACACGTCCTAAATATTCGATTGATCTTGTAGGTGTTAATTGTGACTTGCTTTCATTTATTATAAAACCATGTGTTTCAAGTAAATCAATTACAATATCTCTGTGTCGTTCGGCTTCGCGTCTATTACGAGACATTATTAACATGTCATCACAGTGTACGACAATTTTTATCCTGTTTGATCGTATCATATCTATTATAGGCTGCAAAACTGTTTTAAATATCCATGAACTAGTTGTAAGACTAAATGGTAAACATTGAAAACAGTATCGTTGGTAATCAAAGTCAAATACGAAATATTTCTGTGCTTCTGGATGAAGTGGAATGTGATAAAAGGCTTCTTCTAAGTCAACGGATACCATAAAGTCATTTTGTTGGATTAATTCTTCTACCTTCATTTCATCCATAGTGAAGGGCATCCGTCTTACATAATCATTGAGATTTCGAAGATTGGGAACTAAACGATAATTCCCATTTTTCTTGCGCTTGAGACTTGATTCGGAAAGAAAGCATTGATTTCTCATAGAAAAACGACGTATCACTCTCTCTTCTAGTAAACGTGTTATCTCTCTTCTCGTTTCATTATAATTTGAAATATATGGTTGATCTGTAATAGGATGAAACCTCAGAGGAGGGTACGCTTCCCATCTAGGACGGTAGCCCCATTGAACGACTTTAGTAGCCAATTGATTCCCAAAATTCTCTAACCATTCATCTGTATAATATCTTAACCTTCCTCCTAATGGATAGTCGAAATCTGTAGAACTGTGCATTACGTTAGTGATATTAATTTGTTCGTTGTTGACAAGTAAAAACTTGTTTATTAAAGTAAATATGATTTTAACATTTATTATGAGAGAAAGAGGAATCTTAGTATATATATAACTCCGTTTAGTATATCATCTTGACATATGAGAAATTCTTTCGGCGGAAAAAAAGAGAATAAATTTTTAGTTGGGTACGTACGTACATGATTTATGACAAATGCGTTGTACAACACAAATAAAAGATTTGTAATTCTCACAAAGGTTTCATATGATTAATTGTTACGTATTTTTTGACAATTAAAAGTTCTGATTTTGATGCATAATAAATAATAATAAATAAAAAAAACCTAATTTTGGAAAGGAAGTCTGTCCACACACGTGACAAAAATTTTTGATGCATAACTATATTCGACTTTTAGTGTAAAAAAAACAAACTCACGTTTTTATATGATGGTGAATTATAGGCTCTGGTGTTATGCTAAATTTTTTTTTAGTGTCATTATCGTTATTTTATGAATTTCTTATTTTGGTATAGTTTGTGGCATAGTTGTGTGATTGAAACTCCAAGCGATGGATTGAAACCCCAAGCGAGGGATTGAAACCCAAAAACGAGAAATTGAAACCCAATACAAATTAAAGATATATAAGGGTATAGTTCAGTTTATGAAGGAAGAACGGTGGTTGATATTATAGAATATTATTGAATGTAGTGATTTATGTTAATAAAGGGACGTTTTAAACCCTTTGACCTTAATCGCTATTTGTTCACGATCGAAGCTAATTTGTTCAAGACCCTATAAAGTTCTCCCCCGGTAGTAACACCGGACATGCAATGCTCCGCATTAACCTAACTATATTGTCAAAATACGTAAATTATTTGTGATTCAGCCAAATCCTAAGCTAGTAAGTTTTGGGTCGCAATCCTGTTGCTTCTAAAATTTTCTGCACATGTAGTGCGATTTTAGGAAGGAAAAAAATTTCTTTAGCAACTACAGTAGCATGAATTTAGATATGACGATAAAAAAGCTACTTTATAGCTTCTTTATAATCTTTTTCTAAAATTTACAAAAATATTTCTCGTAAATATGTACCATAATTAAGGCTTAATTCTACAGCATGACACTAATAGTTCATTTCAAAACTAGTTTTGTACTAGGTCTTAATTACTTGTGCATTATTTTAATATAAATTCATAGCCATTTTCATAATACAGACTATTTTGTAAAATTGTGTTCTTTCAAAAAAACGCATTTGTGAAAAAATATCTCGAATATATTTTATGTTTATTATTTTATATTTAATAATCCTGTACGATTATAACTTTATTATTTTTGAAATTATAGTTATTAATATACCATGTTTAAATTATAGTTACTAATATACCATGTTTAAATTTAGATTCAACACAAATTCTTTCTTTTTAATTACAATATTTTTTTTTCATTTAATCGGATTTGATTTAGAGATTCATTATTATAGCTTATTGTAGTACATATAATAGCAAGGTGAGTTATTTGCTACATTGTTATTCCAATTGCAGTGCAGTATTCCTATATTTGTTTACTTTAAATTTAATATCTTTATATTGAAGATTTATAGTGGTGTTCTTGCAAAGTGCATCTGCTAACGCTTTTTCTCCTTTTGATCCAAGACTATTATCAATAAGATTCAAAAAAGTCAGTGTGATGTTCTTACAAAGTGCATTAGCTAATGCTTTTCCTCCTTCTGATCCAAGATTATTCCAACTAAGGTTCAAAGAAGTCAATGAAACGTTCTTGCAAAGAGCATCTGCAAATGCTTTTCCTCCTTCTGAACCAATTTTATTACTACTAATGTCCAAAGAGATCAAGGTAGTATTTTTGCAAAGTGCATCTGCTAATGCCTTTCCTCCTTCTGATTCAATGCAATTAGATGGTCCACTTGTATCACCTCTACCAAGATTCAAAGAAGTCAGAGTAGTATTTTTGCAAAGTGCATCTGCTAATAGTTTTCCTTCTTCTGGTCCAAGTCTATTGCCTTGTAGACTTAAATCTTTTAGTGAAGTGTTCTTACAAAGTGCATTGGCTAATGCTTTTACTCCTTCCAATCCAAGGTTATTCCCACTAAGGTCTAGCGAATTTAATGTAATGTTCTTTAAAAGTGCATCTGCTAATGCTTTTCCTCCTTTTGATCCAAGCTTATTATAACCAAGATTCAAAGAAGTCAACGAGGTGTTCCTACAAAGCGCATTTGCAAATGGTTTTCCTATATTTGGCCCAAAAATATTATATTGAAGATTCAAAATTTTCAATGTATTATTCTTGCAAAGTGCGTCTGCTAATTCTTTTCCTCCTCCTGATTTAATAATTCCGTAAAATAACAAACATCTGTTGTATCCACAAATATTTAAAGAAGTCAGTGAGGTGTTTTTGCAAAGAAATTTTGCTAAAATCTTTACTTCTTCGGTATCATTCCTGTCAAACCACCTATAAAAACCTAAAGATTTTATGGCAGTGTTTTTATTGAGAGCACCGAATAATGTATTCGCTTCTTTAGCTTCGAGTCGAATTGATTTAAGATTCAAAGAAGTCAAAGTGGAATTTTTACATATAATCTTTACTAATCCATCTATTGACTTTGATTTAAAATCAACGCTGATATTATACCTGAGATGAAAATCTACAGAGGTAATTGTAGTGATTTTGCAAATATTTTCAAATATTAATTGATCTTTGCAAGTAATTTCATCAAGACATAAATATTTAATATTTTTGCTAGTTCGTAGAAACATTACAGTTAAAGAATATTTAACGGCATTTATAATTTCATGTTTTACATCTCTATTATAAGGAGAAAGGCATTTTCCAATTCCATAATTCAAATCACCGTTAATATATGTGACAAAGCTTGTGTATTCAAATAATGGTTTTGGATGACTTGGAAGAGTAATTTTAAACGGAATTAATAAAGATTGCTCTTCGGCATTTAATGTTAAAAGTAATACTCTTATAAATCTTTCATCTCTAAAATGGTCCCCTGGTTCTTTCCATAATATTGGTATAATAATTCTACACCATTGACGGTTTACCAGAGCACATGAAAATAGGGTTTTATAATTATTTTTGAGGTTATTGAATATTAAATAATAGCATTCAATAGGTAATGTTATCATGTTGAAAAAAATTTACTAAAATTTTAGTACATACGTACATATGCACGTATTGTAGTCGTATTTATATATTTTAGAAAAAGTTGTGCAACATTGCTAAAATAAATTTAGAAGGATTGTTTATTCTTGTGCATATGACCTTTGTTGTAACCGTGAGAGCAACTTGGCTAATGTGAGATCAAATTAGCTCAGGTTACAAGCATAGGATAAGCGGAATGGATGTTCATTAGTAGATTTTATAGCAGGTTATTAAGGAATGTATTTATTTATTTAGTTATTTGGTCGGAGCAAAGGGAATTAAATATTCTTTATTAGTTTAGTCGTTATATTTATACTTTTCAAATTCCAGTGGTCCGAGACCAAAATCCTGGGTCTCAAACCGATATCGGTGGTCCTGGACCAAGTTCTACGGTCTCATACCAATATTGTCGGTCTTGGACCAAGATCAATGGTCTGGGACCATTCGTGCTCTACAGTTGGTCGGAAACGGTATAATACGAAACTAGTTTCGGATTTTCTAAAAAAAATCCGAAACCCCGAAACCTGAAACCCCCGAAACTAAAATCCGAAACCTCCCGAAAACTATGCAACCAATAATATTACAGGTTTCGTATAACAAAAACGATAGTGATAGTAAAACTTGGACGACAAAATATTTTACTATGAGAGCAATATTTTGTGTACTAGATAAAAGTTTTCGACAAAAAATTTTACATATAATTTAACCCACCTAACCCTAACCCAAATCTTCAATTTAAAAAGTTTATTATAGAGCAATGATAATCACCTGCAGTAATGTTTAGTTTAAAATATTTTAAAAAAATAAAATATTTATGATAAAATTTTTAAAAATACAAAAAATGCCAATAAATAATATTTATAAATTTATTTAAATAAGTTAAAAATCTAAATTATATATAAAATATATTTATTATTACGATGTACTGTACAAAAAATCTTTTACGTATGTTACATTTATCAGGTGGAGGATACATTATATTTAAATTTATAAATCAAATATACGTAGTTATATTTCCGGATCTTATTCATGAAAAAGTTGGTAAGAATAGTGAGAAATACCCCAATAGTAACCGTATAAAAGTCCGCGAACACGTGACTTTAAACCAATTACGACACGGGGTCAGGTGTAATGCGAAAACAACCTGCCGGCTTTTTCAAAAAATCGTCAATAACTCAAAATTTTGATTATAAAACCACTTAAAAAAATTCCTTGCGAAATTTTGCTATATATAAGCCTCCTCTAACCCTAACCCGAATGCTTACCCTTACCCTAACGCGTCAAGAGTTAATTTATTATTCGAAAAATGCATTGACGATCTGCGGTTTAAATTGGCCAATGAATTTTTAGCACATATCATCACGTGGTCACGAAATTTTTATGCGGTTACTATTGACACCAGTAATCGGCGAGTCGGTCGCTTAACGAATTGAGACGTTGTGTAACCTACGATCGGCTTAGTCGAAGAGAGGCGTTTAGATTTGGCGATTTTTTTTGTGCCAATTGTTCTATTTTTGCCATTTAATTTTTACCCATAAAACATTCCGATATCACCCGATAGAGACCTTATTTTTCCGGAATTATCCGATAGAACTGATAAAAAAAATTCGATTGCTGACCAAATTTTCTGATTTAATGTTATGTAAAGCGAAAAATTAACTATGCATGGCCTTAAATGTGAATAGGAGGCTATTATTTACTGTAGAATTAAAAAAAAAAATCCGACCGCCGACCGTTGATTCTGAAATCCATGTAATGCAAAACGAAAAATTAACTTTGCGTGGCCTTATGTTGAAACCTTGGTAATACTCTAACGTTCATACTATTAATCTACAATAC